CTTAAAAAAAAAAAAAAAAAAAGAACTTGTTTCATGGGCACACTTAGCATGGGCTGCATTCACTCAACTTCATAGCTGGTTTCCATGACTGAGCACATGCTGCTTCTAACAGCAGTTTTATGATAGACAATGTATTTAATAGGAGGGAGGGTGGTTTCCCCCATGCTAATCAGGAGGAAAGCCTTGTCTTATATTTGAGTAAATATGATATTTATTACTGGTCAGACTATTATGCAGGGCTTGCAGCAGCACACTTTTACAATGGAAGAAGAAATTGAACAGAACCTGATCAGAAATGGGGAAATCTTATTGCTACCACAACATAAAAATCAATATAAATCAGTTCCACTGTTACAGGAGGCATATATTCCTTCAATCTACACAAAAGAAACATCATTGGTACATCATGCTGTCAGAGCTGAAAGTTGTGGAAGTATGGACAGTAACTACAGGCATGCTAAGCCTGGTGGCATGAATAGTAAAAATTAGCCTGGCAAGCTGAAATCCAGAAAGCTGCTCTGAGCACAATGAAAACAGTGAACTGAGTAAAGCAGATAACACTGCAAACACCAGTCATACCACATTTCTCCATAGTGTTTGTCCTCAAATCATTTCTGTTTCTCTCTGTATACCCTGTAATAGGCTCACATATTAAGGACAGTGTTAAATTCTACTTATTTTTAGAAACCACCTAGATACTTCTCTGAAGCAGTGGAGCTAAGTTAATATTACAAAATGTAAGGTAAGAATAACAGGGCGTTACTTCAACAATACCGCCCTAGCCAGACATTCAATCAGCACCGTTAATCCCAGCCTTGCTTATGTCTGGAGCAGCACAAAAGGAAGGCCCCTGTGAATGCCACCTAAAGCAATTGCTGAGGATTTAGATTACAGGTCCTGTTCCAAAACAAAATCCAAAAGATGCCCATCTGCTTGAACAGCACGTCAGGTTTCTGCACAAACACACACACAAATGTTCATACATGCTATTTTGGGGGCAACCTCCTGCCAAAGGTATCATAATTAGCTACAGGTCACACAGGAAATTAGCTTTTAATCTTTTTCTGTTCAGTTTTTTTGTTTTGTTAAAACTAAAAAACACAAACCAAATGTCTTCAGCCATTCATGCAGTCATCCTGCTGATTAAAACTGAGCATGCAGGCCTATTGCTTGTATATTATGACACAAAGACAGACATTCTGGTCCTACTTCCTCGTCCACAGTCACACACAGGAAGACATCATACTCTTTTCGTACCAGGATGGAACATACTACCATTGTTGCTTATACAGGGCTCATCTGTCGCTAACATTTCACTATCACATTACTTACATTCACATTTTGGATGGTTTCTATCATGTAATCAATGTACTATGCACACAACTCTACTCAGTAATCACTTCCTCAAGACATGAAGGTTACAATCAGACCCATTCAAGGCCGTTCCTACAAGGTCTCTTTCACACTTTGGTTCCAAAACACCTCTATTTTCCACATCACTACAATCCATGTGCACACAACTCTCCAGCTTCCACCAAGTTTATGTTTACCTCCAAAGAAGAAAGAGTTGATAAGGGCAACTGGGTAAAAGCTTGCTCATCTTGCTCAATGCTCATCTTAATAAAAGGGAAAGAAAAGAACAAGGACCCTAAATGGTACCAGAAAAAAAGAAGAGAGATTCCTGTAGGTGGTGCTAAACACAAGTACGGGTAGCAACAAACCTCTGCAATCACACAGTTGTCTTGAAGACTTGTTTAGAAAGTAGCAACAAAGTATTTACACAGAGGAATCAAGGACTACTCCCAATAGAAAAGAGTGTCTACTCCAACTGCCAGGTCACAAAGATCCAAATAAGCTTAGTGTTTCTTTTCTTAACCCAGGGGATGTGTTTCTTATGAAACTGAAGTGATTAGAGTTCTGTGTGTGGAAACAAAGCTTTCTAGTTGCATTTTCCTTAAAACAGGAACTGCCCTCTGAAGCTCTCACCAGTTTCAGCTGCAGCATATGTGATAGGAGCCCTCAGCCCCATCACTGAATCAAAGTGCAAATTCTTCCAGCTTGAAGCCATCCTTTACCATCTCTCAGAACACACAACTTAGTACATTTAACCACAAGGGGGTGCTACAGAACAATACAAAGCACTACCCTCTACCCCCAAATCCAGTGATGTTCCCAGATCCTACTAGCACATTTTCAGGTCCAAAATGGATTGTCCTTACTCTTCCTAAAGAACACTAGAAACTTACAGATTTAAAAACAACAACAAAAAAAAGCAGCAGCACAACCTGCCCTGCCACATCAACTGAAACACATTTTCCAAGAGCACAGGTTGGACACCCACCCACCTCAGAATCCAATCGTGGAAATAAAATTATTTGGGAAGCAGTTGAGTTCTATTATGTCCCTTGTGCACAATCTTATTATCATAACCCTTGTTCTTGTTTGCCATTCCCCACTCCTTTTCTTATGTTCTACCCGGTGCATGCACTAATCAGTCCAAGGCACAATTTGCCTTTATTTTTAAATGCCCTGAAGGGCATATAAAGGTTAACAGAGACTGAAAGTGATAGGGCTATTACTAGGGTAACCATATGTCCCAATTTGGCCAGTCCCAGATTTCACAGGCTAGTGCCAGCCAGCTGGTGAAAACTGAAACAAAAGTGCTGGAATCACATGGATGTGGGATGCAATCCAGCAGAGAGGCAGAACAGCATAGTGCACCAGGCAGGTAGACGATCACTGCTGCTGTAAGGGACCAAGGTGGGTGGACTGGAGTAGGCGCCACCCTGCCCACATGTGCCTAGCCCGGCTCTTCCTGAGCAGCAGCTGAAGGCAGGGGGCAGGTAGGGCTCGGCACCACTCCAGTCCACCCATCTTACTCCCTCACAGAAAAAGTGGTGCCTGCCCGCCTGTCAGCCTGTCGAACCATGCCTCTCTGCCTCTCTGCTGGACTGCACCCCACATCCCTATCCACCTGCCTCTGCCTGCAGCAGTGCCACTGACTGGGGAGGGGGGGAGAGACTGGTCAGTGTCCCAGATTTCCTTGAAAATAATATGGTCAACCTAACTATTACTATCCACAACCAGCATACAAAAGGTAGTTGTATAGTAATCCCTCTTCCCGTTTCCCAAGCATTAAATTAGGCTTCTGCCATTCCACATCTCACCACTGCTCAAGGTAGGCTTCAAAGCAAAGAAGATCACCAATACATATTACAGCCATAAACATGCCATTTCAAGAAGATATATCTGAGCACATTTTGGAAGAGGCCAGTGCTCAATATTCCATACCTATTAGTGCATATGAGAGGAACTTGTTCACAGACGTCAGGGCTAACCCAGTAATGGGACCTGTAGTGTCCTCAGACCGGATGACCTCCAGAAAGGGTCGGAGAAAGACATTGGGCTCAATTTCTGTAAGCTCTGTAATAAAACAAACAAAAGTCATCATTAGAGATCTAGTTCACCAACTGCCAGGATACATAAGTAAAAAGCAGTTCTTGTGAATCAAAACCAGTGATTAACAATAAGATTGCCAAGTCTGTGGAACCCTGATGTACAAGCTCTGGCCATCTCTTCTTTGATTGGCAGCATGTTTTGCACGTGTAATATTATCTAGCACGCCACTGGAGTTTACAAATCACATTAAGTGCTCACATTGCCAATATGCTCATTACATTATAGTCTCATTCATTAGCTTTCATTTAATTTTCCTCTAAGAATCTGCCTCAGCTTAGTCTCCAAGGAAGCCCTGCAAATTCATTATTTATTTCAGAAGACCAGTGGAAATGTGGAGGCGTTTCTCTGAAAAAGAGGAATATGGCAGAGCAAGGAAGGGTTTATGAAGCTCCTTAATTCTTATGCAAATGTACTGATCTTCCAAACAGCCTTCTGGAGCCTCCTGAATGAGCTCCCATTGTAAAAGCACTATGTAAACACCACAGAGCTGCTGCTCCTTAGATTAATGCTTTAATTAATTGGCAGATATTGCAGCATTTTCCTAGGATGCCTATAAATGAGATCATGTTTGCTGTATTGAAGCAGGATCATTTTCTCCCATATCCCCACAATATCCACTCTTTGTATACAGCATACCCATCCACATGTATAGTGCAAACACATGGACAGTTTTGGTGGTAAGTCTGAAGTATTTGTATTGAAGCTCAGGTTCTAGACAACCTTCATTCTGTTGAGCAAAACAAAAACTGAGCCAAACAATTTAAAAAGCCTCCTAACTTAAGGGGAAAATAGGGTATTTTTCATTTTTGCTTGCTGGAGAGACTGACAGATGCACAGATCATTTTAAAAAAAAAAAACTTGCAAATTTTTTACAATAATCAGTGCTAACAGAGAAAAGTAGATAAAACCAAACTGCAGACCAAAATTATGAGGATAGTATATAAGTAAGGAGAGAAGCAAGGAACTAGGGAAAAATTTATACACCTAAACAAAACAGAATCAACCATACAGATCAAGGTACTACATACAGTATGAAGTGCTGGAAGAAAAGCCATAAAAGCCAAGGGGGAACACCAGACTATTGGGATTGGTGACAAGGATGATCAGGGCACCAGAATTTAATTCAGATTAACAAACTGAAAGTAAGGCCCCAGCAACACCACACACCACTTCTCCTCCCCATCAAAATACAGAGACTTGACTTAAAATTCCTGTACTTTCCAAAACCTCCTTTTTACATTTAGTGAAAGTTAACACAACTAATGGCTCAGCATCCCATGAACACTGGCGCTCACCTTCCTGCTGATCTGGTATTTTACACATTTGTAATATGAGCTTCTTCAGAAAGAAGATATATCTCTGCAGCCTGAGACAAAGTCTCAGTTTTTATCCTGGCAAGATTTCTGTATAGCTTTTCTTCAAGGAAACTGACAGTATGACAAATGAGCAAGATCTAATATAACCACAACTCAAACATAAAGATCAGAAACCAATACGGCTCTACGTGTGCTAATGTAATAGTGAAAATTAATATATATAAATGTGTGTGTGCATGTATTAATACAGTGTGTGTGCATGTGCATCTGTGCACACGCACACATGCTCACATACTTTAAAAAGCAATACAAATCCATGTAAGCCATTACAAAGTGAAACTGAAGTAACTTTTAATTACATTTTAATCTATTGCCTGCGATAAATATAATTACAAAGGAAACTAACTATGGAGACTGTTAACTGCATGTACTGTCTTTTATCTTTAGGCCACCAGTTCAAATCAGGCCAGTACAACTAAAGATGAAGAGCAGTTAAAAGGAACGTGATGATTCAACTTTTTGGCCCAAGGACAACTCCCCCAGCTTGTCAGATAATATTCTGGTATGACATTACAACTGTGTCGCCTCTCACTAACTCATGGAAATGCAGAGATCATAAGACATGCTTTCTTCAATGTTTATTTAAGCTTGTTTAATAGAGCACTTATCCATAGCTATAGGCACTTGCACGTTGTGTGAGAGAAGAAATATTCAGAGATTTTACCATTGTCCCCAAAGCTGATCCAATCTATCAAAGTAGTCAAGCATTTTAAGCAATCCATTGTATATACCTGCCAAACCACCTAGTCTTCTTTCAACCCACTCCCTCAAGATCCTTGAAAGACAGATGAGCCCGCCTTTGACTGTTAATCAACGTAGGCGTTATCAGCTATATGTGTATTAAGAGCTCCAGCCTGAGGATCTTCACAGGAATAATCCTCTGCTACTTCTTTCAAACCAGGGACTGACCACTTAAAATGTTGTTTTCATAAATCCCACAGTATGACACTGAAGAAAAGCTGGTGTCTTAGGAAGCTAGGTTCCATACCACTTAAGCCTCATACCTTTAGTCTTTTCCAACAGAGATAACAATATTATTCCTGTCCATTTCAAGAGATGCTCAGGACTTGACCAACCCCAGACCAAGAACCTGAATACACAGGCACCACCTCAGGACTTATATAAATCTCTGCCATTTTCCCCATACCTCTCAAGCATCCTCAACATTACTTGAACTGAGCTTTAGTCAGAGATCGATTCAACTATAACAAAACAAGATAAAGAATGGTAGTATTCAACATACCGATGATGCACCACAGTCCATTCTAATATTATAAAATCCTTAGTGTCTGGTTGTAACGCTTTATTCACACTCTGATTGGTTGTCTGAAACAGCCAATCAGAGTGCTCCAACAGCATTCCAGACAGGGGGCGGCAGCATGGCAGCAGGGATGGAGCAGGGTGGGGCCAGGCCAGCGCTGCTGGCCTCACTCTGCCCCCCTGCCCTGTGCCCTGCAGGCAGCAACAGCATGGGGTGCTGGCTGAGGGGGACAGAGGGGATGGCAGGGCAAGCTTCCCCTTCCACCCTGTTCCTGGAAGGCGGTGGCAGCACAGTGTGGTGGGTGGCAGCTTTCTGTGCCCCCCCCACATTTCTGACAGGCAGTTGGCTAGGCTCTCTATAAAGAGGTCTAGTATACCTTCCCAGTCTAAATAGGAAAAACGAGTGGACAGAACCACAATGTGCTTGAACAGTGGTATCCAACTCCGCTGGGCCCACAGACTGGCTGAGTGGCAATGGGCCAATCTACGCGCTGGATCCAGAGTACATCATCTGACCGGCAGGACTGGATTTTGGTGATAGCTTTGTTAACTGCTGCAGTTCCTGGAGCTACAGCACCTGCCACTCCTCCCAGCACCAATTTTTCAGCCCCATGCTACCACCACCTGCATAATGCTACCACCACCTGCATAGCTCCATAATCCAGATCCAGCTCATGAGGCTCTCCATGGGTCTGGAATTTGACACCAGGACACACAGAGGAAGCATTAATTGCAGCAGCTTCCAGAGCCATGTCAACTGAATGCTACCACCATACATGATACCACCAAATTTCTGGACCCATAGGGAACCCTACAGGCCAGATGATGTGGTTCCTTTCAGCCCACGGGCTGTATTTTGGTCATCCCCATGCTAGAACATATTACAAGGGTATCATATTATATAGGGTCTTTATCACCCAGTTGGTATCTGAGCTACATGTGTCATCTTCAATTAGGGGGAAAAAAGTGTCTTTTTACTGCTAGTTAAAACCCTTACAAGGACAAGGTAATTTGTAATATGATGCAGTTAAAGACTAGGATCCCCCAAAGTCAAAACTATGGCCATTAAGCTGAAAAACCCTGGTCCTTCAGTTTATACTTTTAGATCCAGAAGACCCTCACAAACAAGAAAAGCAGTTACATTCACATGATAATACCCGTGGACGGAGGATACAGACCCTTGGAGATGTCTTTGAAAGCACAATTGTTTGTAAGCAACCACATCCCTTCCTCCTAGGGACACTGTAGTGCCATTGTAGCCTTGATGGTCCAAGAAATATGCAAGAAGTAAGATTTGAGAGGCAACACCTTTATTGGACCAAGTGTATAGATGGGAGAGATATTAGCCATGATTTTGGGCATATGATGCCCTTCCTCAGGTCCAGTTCAGGACAGCAGACATTCCCAACAATGCCATAGAATCAATAGCAGTACAGGCAGCCAACAGATGAAAGGAGGCAGTGTTATCACCTTTTATAATAAAGGTTTCCCCTAGCGTGGTCTGCAAGGTCATGATAAGTGGTCCAAAGATCACCCTGGGACTCCCACAATCACTTTTCAATGAAAGGCTTGATAAGAATACATGGTAAAAAGGCTTGTGCATTAACAGGGCTCCCCTAGTTCAAAGAAACTGGTAATCACTTGTTTCAAGCAGTTCTTCAGATGACTAAATAAAATATGTAAGGTCTGAAATTTAGACTTACTGTATTTATTCAAATCTAAGACAAGATTTTTTCTCCATCCAGCGGGGGTGGGGGGGTGGAGAAGAAGGTTCTTGTTAGGCCAGGCAAGCAGCTGCTGCAGCTCCAGACAGGACCAGGGTGGCTCATGTAGCTGATAGGCGGGTACACTGAGTGAGGGTGATGTGGGAGAAAGGGGCATGTGGTGCTGAGGAGAGACAGTGCCAGAGCAGCTGCAGAAGGTAAATGGTGGGGATGGGGGGAGAGCAGGCACAAATGGCGGGAGAGACAGCACAAGGTAGGGACAGGACAGACAGCAGGGGGCAGGCATGGGGGTGGGGCAGGTGGCAAGGATTATGGGGCAGGCTGCTTGCTCCCCAGATGCTGCTTTCCTTGTGGTGGGGGTGGGGAAGAGGAGGCTAAATTTAAGGAGGACCCTCAAACAACTGATTCTAGACAGGGAAAATTAATTTCCCATGTCTATAATCTAATAACTGGGGGGGGGTGTCTTAAATTCAAAGTCATCTTGGATTTGGGTAAATATGATAAAAAACCTAATGGTCAGACCATTGTTAAAAACATCATGGAAAATGTGTATGTTCACATGGCTCAACTCTTTCTTTGCTGGGGTCAGACATCACATAACTTT